CCCCAAAACCCCAAAACCCCAAAACCCCAAAACCCCTACTTAGCCGTTCTCGGTTGAATTCTGAGTAAAAATTATACTAAATTTCTCCTTCAAAGTTGTCTAGAGCAGGTAGTTTTACATTGGAGAAAAGCTTTATCACTCCCAAAGATTCTACTGGATATCAATCCAGATCAAATTTGTATTCACTAACAGGAATCCAGGAATGACTTAAATGCTCGGCAGCAATTTGGTTCCTAACAGTAAATTTACTGTACTCATCTTCTTTTAATGCAATTTTCTTCAGAGAGTATTCTCCAAGTATCCAGTAAGTATCTTTTTCTCTGATGATATATGGATACTGATACACATCGGGATTTTTGATAGGAATAGGATATATCTTTAATGCCTCTCTTCTGGTCAAATCTGCTAAGCATCGCTTTGGATTGACTTGATTGCTAATATCATATTCTTCATTTACATTGTGAGACTGACCAGGAGGAATAGATTCAATAGATAAATTTATTGTTTCAACCAAGAAATCTAAATCAACCAAATGTAAATGTGATATTACTTGAGAAGTATGCAATTTATCAAACTTTCCTCCAAATATCATAAGTAAATTTCTTGATATATTTACGTGAGTAGTTGCCATGCTTCTACTGCAAGTTTCTTTTAAGTACCCTGAAAGGGTAAAATCATTCCATTCGTTTGTCCTAAAATCTAGTCTTTCAAAAGTTCCTAAGTATTCTGAAACATAATATTTCTCACAAGGTTGCGTCTCTAGCCCTGAAAGAGCATAAAGATGATCTTTGTAATAGAATCCAATACAGCTATCTCTCGAATGGACCATTTCAGCATAAGTGATCCATTTGTCTTCCTGAAAAATATACTCATACACTGATTTTGTGCTCTTATTTTCTTTATTTACTCCTCCAATGAAATAAAGAGATTTAGTCTCACCTCTGTAAACCAAAGTGCTTCGGTGTATTGGCTCAGGCATCGATTCCATCCTTGTAATTTTTAATGAGAAAAGGTCAATTCTTAGAACATCATTAGTCAGATCTTGGTCAACCAAAGAATATTTTTCTGAAGTTCCAAAGCAATAGATGTAGTTTTTATAGGTAAACTGCATTATTCTTTTATTCAAAATCTCAACAAACTCTTTATAAACCTCATTATCTCTTCTAACGATCTGTTTATAACTAGTTTTCATTGTTTCAAGGTCTTTCTTGAACAAATAGTTTTTGCAAATAAAATGAAATACACTTGATGAAGGGGTTTTCATAGAGTACTGACTCAGAGGGATTACAACATTGTACATAAATTTATTGAGCAATTGCAAGTGGATTCTTTCGTTTTCATTTACGAATGACAATACCTCTAGCATAATTCCTTGAGATTTGAATATATCTTTCATTTTAGAAATATTTAATATCTCTTGCTGATTTAAAGGGGTTTTGGGGTTTTGGGGTTTTGGGGTTTTGGGG